GAGCTGGTTTTGAAATTATCTGCTGAATACAAAGGATCAGGGATTATGCAATCTGAGATTCTGAGGCAGGCATAAAATACAGCACAGTTGTGTTTTAGGAAAAGACTGAGAAGATCCATGGCAGGGTTTTTGATAGTTGGGGAAAAAAAAAAAACCCACAACAAAAAAACAGTAGCAGTAACAGCAGCAAAAGTCACCTAAACTAGATTATTTTTTTTTTTTAAATGAATGCAATCTTCAGTGGGTTTTGGTGGTTTGGGTTTGTTTTTTTTTTCCTCCTCAAAGATCTAAGAAATACAGGTTTTAATATCTCACAGACACATGGTGAATGTGAATACTGGAAAGGAATGCTAGAGAAAACATTAAAATGAAAGCTTGCCTGCAAATATTTTTATTGGTTTTCCCTAATATTTTCTGTGTCTTTACTATAAGATTAAAAATATTTTAGCAGCTATCATTTCCAAGCTAAATTCCATATTTGACTTCTGAAATCTATCTACTTAATATTTATGCTAACACCAGCCACTTTAAGTAAACAAAACTTCATAGTATATTTTTAAACTTTTGCTTCAATATGTTTATAGAAGGAGCTATCACTTGGTATATTACAGAGGTTTGATTTATATTAGTAATGATGCAGAAAGCTCATTTATTGTGTCAGATTTCCTAATTTAATTGTTATTTCTGAGTTCATTACAGTAGAAATGTATATTTAATTTTCTTAGACTTCAGGTGTCAGAACATAAAATTGATACAAATTTACAAATAGCTGCTGACTATTTAGTAGATATCTAGAGAAGGACTTAATTTATTGCTACTGAGGCTAATTGTGAAATAAAATAGTTCTGAAATATGAGCTATCCTGAGGATAGTTTACAACTGTTGCTCTATTAGCAAATCAAAATTGTAAACTGCTGTACAAAAGAGCATGTCGATACTTCTTTCTCTTTGTGATTTCCTAAACTATTGACTTGATATAAGCTTACACTAAAAATCTTCTTTAGGGGCAAAGGGAAACACACATTATATATGAAGTCAAGAATTTCTTTTTAGCGTAACTAGAATTTTCACAGGATAAACATTATTAGTGTAGGTGTCTCTATTACAGAAAGGGAGAGACTAAGTCTATGCAGGAAAAGTCTCACTACTGAAATACTACTTACAAAATAAGTAAGATAAGTGTAAAACAAATTAATGGTAGACACCTCCTCAATTAGAAAAATTGCAGTTACAGCTAAACCAGGTGAAACAAATCACACCTGAGAAGCCTCTGTTAGGAGACCTTGCAGTCTCAGTATAAAACTCTAAGGCTTGCACCTGACAACGCTTTCTTGAGCTTCACTGGAGATAGTGGACAATAAGACAGTCTAACTGGAGTATATTGATTGGATCAGCAAAACAAGGTTGTATTGCCAATAAATTAGACTAGGATTTTAGCCACAATTTGATATTACAATCCCAAGTTTAATAGAATGTGTATGCATATAGGTATTATTTTTGTGATGTATTTTTATTCATTTAAGCTAACTTTTTTTTTTCCAATTATTTCATACATGAATTTATTGTGCCTGGAGGTATATCAATGGTATTTTGCTAACTATCAGTGATTGCTTGTCATTCTTTTGGCTAGGACTACACGTGATAAGTGCAGAGGAAAAATACAGCCATATTCAATGTTGTATGATTGGGTCTGACCTTCTGGCAAATATGTTTTGTTTTGGTTTTTTTTTTGTGTAGCCTTCCTTGCTACACAAGGAGTATTTTGCATATACTAACTGGAATCTTGGGCAGAGGTCTAGCCCAAAGAAACTAGAAGGCTCTTCAGAGTATATGCCCTGTCACAGTAACAGGTGCCACAGTTTCTGTCAGCCAGCCACAGAACTACCTCCCTCTTTGGTCTGCTATGTCCCAATTTCTCTAGCAAATGGTAGACTGACAACTTGGACTTTAAGTTAATATGACAGAACACTCTGATTTCATGAGGTCATATCAATCTATTCTGCAAAGCTGCCTTCCATCTTCTGTATTTTTCTGCTTTTCTTTGTCATTCCACTTCTCTTCCTGTTCTTCACTATTGGGTTTTTCTTTGCAAGCCTTCTCTGCCCTGTTTCCCAACCTGAACCAATGAAAATAAGTCAGTAATGTGGAGACGTCTAATGTGTATTATATCGTATCCCTGTGGCACCCACATCGGGACCCCCAGGTGTCAGGGAGGGACCCAGGTGTTCAGAGAGGGAACCCCAGCACTTGGGGGGGGACCCAGCATTTTTGGGGGACCCAGGCATCCGGGGGGGACCCCAGCATTTGGGGGGGGATCCAGATATCCA